ATCTATCTTCATAAATTTAGGTCAAACTATACTGCTCAAAAAGAATAAAGGAACACTTTGAAAACAAATTAGGTATCAATGGGGAAAAATATCATGCTGGATATCTATTAGTGGTGCACCAAAACGAAAATTCTGGTGCCGAAACTGATACCGAAAATTCAGAATGTATGTGGCCGAAAACCAAACCGAAATGTCTATGTATGTGGGGAGGCTCCAATTTTTTTTTTGTATTTTCTTCTACTTTCATGTAGAGATATATATTATATTATTTTTTTTTTTTTTTTTTTTTAACTTATGATTTTATTGCTATCGCATAGGGGACCAATAGTCCCCTATGTGATAGCATATGATTGACAGGTCCTCTTTGTAGGGGGAGGGGGCAGTGTGTGTAAGGAGAGGAGCAGTGTATACAGTGAGGTAGCAGTGTATACAGAGAGGCTCCCTCACTGGCTGTCACGAGGGGGTTTATATATTAAAGCTGGAGAGTCCAAAATCAGACTCCCTTCTGCATAGAAACCAATCAGCTTCTAACCTCAGCTTGTTCAATGAAGCTTTGGCAATGAAACCTGGAAGCTGATTGGTTTCTATGCAGAAGTGAGTCTGATTTTGCACTCTCCAGCTTTAGTAAATAAACCCCTATATGTCAGTGCCGATTTTTAAATGCAATTGCCGGCTTTTTTTTTTTCTTCACTATAGCTCACAGAATTAGCTGTCACTTTCCCCAGAGATAAAGGAAACTTTGTTTCTTTTATCTCGGGAAATAAACTAAAAGGAAACTGTTTTCTTTTAGCTGGTGGGAAAGTGACAGCTAATTCTCTGAGCTATAGTGAAAAAAAAAAAAAAAAGCCAGCACTGACATATAGTGACAGCCAGTACACTGCCCCCCCCCCCCTCACATCTGCAGTACACACAGTCCCGTTTCGGCTAAATTTTTCCTATCTGCATTTTCAGCCAATATGTTTCAGTGGCCAAAAGTTTGGTGCATCCCTAATATCTATAACAATATGGACTGAATAATGTGTTAAGAACATAAGGATGCCCCAGCATCTGATGGAAATGAAAATTACCTATTGAGGACTGAATTCAAAGACACCCCAAAAATCAAAGTGAAAAAATTATGCAGCAGGCTAGTCCATTTTGCTGAAATTTCATTGCAACTCAAAATGGTACTCAGTAGTTTGTATGGCCCCCACATGCTTGTATGCATGCCTGACAATGTCGGGGCATGTTTCTAATGAGACGACGGATGGTGTCCTGGGGTATTTCCTCCCAGATCTGGACCAGGGCATCACTGAGCTCCTGGACAGTCTGAGGTGCAACCTGGCAGCGTCAGATGGACCAAAACATAATATCCCAAAGGTGTTCTATTGGATTCAGGTTAGTCGAGCGTGGGAGGCCATTCAATGGTATCAATTCCTTCAACCTCCATGAACTGCCTGCATACTCTCCCCACATGAGGCCGGGCATTGTCGTGCAACAGGAGGAACCCAGAACCCACTGCACCAGCGTAGGGTCTGACAATGGGTCCAAGGATTTCATCCTGATACCTAATGGCAGTCACGGTGCCATTGTCTAGCCTGTAGAGGTCTGTGCGTCCCTCTATGGATAGGCCTCTCAAGACCATCACTGACCCACCACTAAATCGGTCATGCTGAACAATGTTACAGGCAGCATAACGTTCTCCACGGCTTCTCCAAACCCAATAACATCTGTCACATGCTCATGTGCTCAGGGTGAACCTGCTCTGATCTGTGAAAAGCACAGAGCGCCAGTGGTGGACCTGCCAATTCTGGTGTTAAATGGCAAATAACAATCACTCATTCACAGTGTTCTGTGAATGAATGCCTACAAGTCCCGAGTGCATTAGCGGATGTGGGCTTGTAATTTTCAATGAAACTACCACAGTGCTATGGAGCACTGCGGTAGTTCATTGATTCTTCCTGTCAGTATATCTGCTTGCTCGTACATCCCGTACAGCCAGCAGATATTATAACAGGTCTGCAGAAGACCTACAAGGCATCAGTGATCTGCTGAGTGCTGGTGCAATGCTTTCCAGGCTCCTTTGGACAAAAATAATAAATGCACATTTTTTTACCTGCAAAAAAATGTGCATTTATTATATATGTCCAAAAGTTGATCTTATCCTTTAATCTGTAGGAAAGTTATAAAGTCCACAAACTATGGTATATATCTTAAAATCAATCAATCCTGATGTACTGATAGCCTAATATCTTGAGGCCTGAAAAAACCAGGACAGTACAAATATCCCCCAAATGACCCCTATCCAAGCCCAAGGTATTTAGTAAGAGGCATGACAAGTTTTTTGAAGTTAATTTTTTTTGGGGAAAAAAAAAAAAAAAAGTAACAAAAAATGACAAAAAATTACACACACACACACACACTGTATATATATATATTTTTTTTTTTTTTTTTTTTTTTTTTTTTACGTACTGCCACCACTGCAGTGCAGCATCGTCATATAAATGGTGTGGTGATCAGGGACACTGACAGTAGTGACAGTATGTAAACTAAAAAAAAAAAAAAAGGGATTTAATAAACATCTTTTCTCTTTTTTTTTTTTTTTTAAAACTTTAACACACTGTGACCAGAGCAATATAATGTTAACATACCATTTTTTTTTTTATTTTTTGTTACACCTTATGATTGCTTAGATCAGTGAATTTTACTGGTATAAGCAACCATTTTTATTGAATGAAACTGATTCATTCAGGGTGTATTGTTGTGATAAGCACAATGAATGGCATGAATCGAAGCCATTTATTGTTTACAATTGTCATGTGATCTGCTGTGACTGGTCACAGTGATCACATGGTATCAGCAGTGGCCCGGTACACTGATCTGTCATCGGCTCTGTCTGTTGGACCCAGCTGGTGACAGATCATGCTGCAGCACAGCCACATTTTGCAATAAGCCGGATGGGAAGAGGTTAAACAGAGTCCAGTGATACCAAGAACACAGATGGGGCTACCACTGTTAACAATGTAGGGCTGTTGCAAAATGAACACCAGTATACTTAGTGAACTGGGAAAACCTGTGTTTGTTGGAAGACTGGAGAGACTTCCAGGATTACCAATATTTGGCATAAATCTACCAGCAGCTGTTGGTGGTAGAAAAAAAAAAAAATAGGAAATTCCAAACATAAAACAGAGTTGAAGAAACCAGATCTATTCTATCGAGGGTCACAAAACTACAGAATGCTGGTAGTGGGAATGGTTATCCAGAGGTGACATTTTTTTGTCCACCAGTGTGCAATTCTCCTGTAGACTGCAGTATAAACTAAAAGGTAAAAGACTTACGGTTTCTTTTGATCAACGAAAAATTAATTATTATTACACAGGATTTATATAGCGTTAACAGTTTGCGCAGTGCTTTAGAAATACCTTTTTATCATATCTTTTTGTGAGTTGTCATGTGACAGCTTCCTTTTTGTCCTCTATCCACCTGGCAAGATCAGTGGACAGGCAGCAGCAGTCTAATCACACACCATTTTCCATAGATTCACACCTAAGCGTTTTCTGCAGCGTTTTGCAGAAACGCAATAAAGTCCAATTAACATGATTTCCTATGGGACACATTCACATCTCCGCGTTTTCACCCGGTGCGTTTTTTTGGAAACGGTCAGGGACTTTTTTGAACGCAAAAAGTAGCATTTTTGGTTCTATAGACTTCAATGGAAATGCTGCAGAAAAGCATGTAGTGCATTTTTGCTGCGTTTTGTGTTTTAAATCTGCCTAGCAACAAGAAAAATTTAAAAAAATGCAAAACGCAGCAAAAGCGGAGGTGCAAAAACGCAATGCAGAAACGGCTCAAACACAAACTGCATAGGTGTGAACCTAGCCTTAATCAATGGATACAATTGAAAATACTATTCCATTAAAAAGGTGCAATGCCTTCAGTTGTTACATTGGTTAAAAGCGGAGTTCTATCTGAAAAAAAAAAAAATAAAAGTCAGCAGGTACAAAAACCGTAGCTGCTGACTTTTAAAATACAGCCACTTACCTGTCCCTCGGTCCAGCGGTGTCCTCACCCCCGCTGGTTTCACCGGCCGTCTTCTCTCCCCGGCACTGGCATCTTTAGTGTGGGCACCCGGCTGTGACAGCTTGCGGCTTCACAGACAGGTGCCCACTGTGCATGCGCGAGAAGTGCTGAGCTTTGTGAATGTCCCCATAGTCTTCTAGGGCCTGTCAGAAGTCCCAGAAGACTATGGGGAAGGGGGGGAGAGGACAACATCCACCTCCAATCGCCTAGGTGATCGCAGCGGGAGCAGGTACCTGTCAAATTTGGGTACCCGCTCCCCAAAGGTGCCAATCCTTAATGGAGAGCAGAGGACGAAGGCTTAAAGCGGAACTTCCCCTTTTGGGTGGAGCTCCACTTTAAAATTACATTTTGCTAGTACATACAATATAGGTATATTCTTATTTTTCAGTTGAAGTTTGTAAAGTCGGGAGTTGCCGACAAGGCCACACACAGCTTGAAATTCCAACAATTCAGCACAAATCAAACTAAACCTGAGCTGTGTATGGCCTGGTTAGCATCTCCTAAACATTACAACTGGAATTTAGTACTTATATATGACCCCAAAGTAGTGTCTTTTTTAACTTCGGCTCTATGCCATGATGCTTTTATACAGACACAGAGAGTTTTAGATTAACTGGTGAACATTTAGGACCAATTTGTTCATATTGCTCAGTCCACACTACTGTCCAAAGACACATGTAACATGTTCACAAGGAAGATTTATTTATTTTTTAACACCTTACTATTGAAAATTTTAATATAACAATAAATAGGTCTAACCTTACCAGACTATCATTAGGTCATGTAAAACATTCCTCTTTATGATGTAATGGGAAACATAAACACCAATTGCAAAATAAAAAAAAGTTACTATAAGAAACACACTATTGAAAGATAAATTAAAGTTACTTTGATCTGTACCAATCCATGTGGATGTTGGACCTGTAGTATGTGGTTCTCACCTGTAGTTGAATTGTTTATCGCAGAAGCTGCAGTGGAGAAGGTTTATTCCTGGATCATCTTGGTGATTAAGGAATTCTGCATATGGCAAAAGCAGTTCACATCTATCACACCTGTGTACCACATCAGCAGTGTTTTCATCACCATCCACTCTCTCCACCACGCCACCTCCCCTGTAAGCCAACAATGGTGGTGTAAATCTTAGGTTTAATGGACTCTTCGTGTAATCTCAAGTCATTGAGCGTGATAGGCTCTAAACTATCTGGAGTATCCGGCTCATCACATAGATTAATGCACATATCTGTAGTATCATCATCTGCTTCTTCTGAAGAACCATCGTTGTGAATTGTAATAGGTATTTGCCTGGTAAAACCAGGACTGAGAAAGGAGTTCTCTCTAGGTTCAGCCACAGGACTTGCTCTACCCAGCCTTCCACTTTTAGCACATTGTTTATTCTTGAAGAAACCTGGGTTTTGCATTGGAAAGGTTTCCTTAAAAAAGGAAGTTCTTTTGTGTATTCTGGCTTTGTCTTTTAGCTGGCCCACTGGCTCAAACCTTCTTCTGTCCTCACTAAAGACTCTGTTGATGTTTGGGGGATTATCATTGTGATGACTTCTTAAAGATGGGCTGTCCACCTCTGTCAGCTCTGACTCCTGATCAGGTAGCTCATAATCATCAGGAATGCAGATTTCCTCCTTAGTATTCTTGTTTGGTGGGCTGCTGGAAACTGAGACCACCTGACTAGTGAGTGGAAGACTAACTTGCAGTTGATGGCCAGCCTGCATAAAGTCTTGTACATGACAGGTTGGAATCTTGTAAGTATATATAAAATCAAGAAGGTGACTAAAGCCCTCCAAGCTAACGTTGTCAAGAACCAAAAACTGTTGCTGCTCATTTCGTTTTAAAGCTGCATAGAAGTATTCACTGCAAGCTGATAGGACATTTTTGTGAGCTAAGAATATTTTACCCTCCACCATCAAGGAGACATCACAGAAAAGACCCATTGATTTCTGTTCATTGAGTTTCTGGAGGACAGACCAACCATGAGCTTCTGGAGACATTGGATCCATCTTGATTTCTGTTTAGCAGCAATGCAAACAGCTTACTGAGACATTACTCACACGGAAAACAATAGTCCTAAGAGAGAAAAGAATATAACAAAAATATTAACCTTCCAAGATTCTGAAGATAATGACTTTAAAAAAAGTAATTTAGTGTAAAATACCCACCCTTAGTGTTCTTTACAACGGAGCAATAGAGATCTTTTAAGCCACCACAAGCTTTGGAAGGGGCTTAGAAAACCTTTCAAACTAAATAATAATCAGCATCAATCTAGGCTAGGTTCACACCTGTGTGGGCCGCAATTTGCATGGGCAGGAGAGCCCATTCATTTGAATAAACTGCAGTGTCTTGGGACATGCAGAAAAGAAGTCCGTGCACTATTTTTGAAATCGCAACCCACACAGGAACCAAGGTTCCCAGTCTGGGTGCGATTTCCAGTGCAGGCAGCGTGTCATTAGGATTACAGTGGTTCTAAAGTCTCAAGGTTTTTTACCTTCATGCATTCTATGTATGAAGGTAAAAAAAATATTCTGTGTGTAGCAGCCCCCTTAACACTTACCTGAGCCCCCTCTTGATCCAAAGATTTCCACAAAAGTCTCAGTTCTCCGGGGACTCTCACTCCTGATTGGCTGAGGCAGCAGTCTGTCAATCACAGCCAGTGAGAGCCAATCAGGAGGGTGGGGGGGGGCGATATGTGGCTCTGTGTGAATGAACACACAGAGCCACAGCTCAGGAGTGCACCTGACAGGGTGCCCCATAGCAAGCTGTTTGCTATGGGGGCACCCGACAGGAGGGAGCAGCCAGGAGCACTGGCGGGAGACCAGAGATGAGAGGGATCACTTTAGTATCACTTTAATGGCACCCGCCGGTGAGTCCTGCGTTTCTTTTTGTGGGTGGCAATCTTAAGCCATAATATTGAGTGTGTAAGGCTCACATTACACTTGTGGTTGGGGGGGGGGAGCTGCATTGTCTTATATTCTTTTTAACAAAAACAAGAAATTCCATGATTGGATAAGGGAAAGGAGCAGAAGAGCAACACAATCTCCCCATCTCCAATCACACAATGCCTTTGATTCAGTAAAAAGTATACAAGACATTTTATGAATGGATGAGGTGAAGAACGAGGGACCTGCTATGCATGACAACAGAACAGTAAAGTGTCAGTAACAGAAGTTTGAAGCTTACCATACTACCAGGGATGAATGAAACGAAGAGTTCTAACGAACACAGCGGCCAGCCACACAAGGGGCACACAATATTGGAGGTCATTTGTTGGTACATGTGCATAGTGGTTAAGTGGTTAGCACTTTCGGCTAGTAACACTAGGGTCACCAGTCCAAATATTTTATTATATCTTTTCATGTGACAACACTGAAGAAATGACACTTTGTTATACAAGCTGTACACTCACTACTTTACATTGTAGCAGTGTAAATTTGCTGTCGCCTCAAAATAACTCAACACACAGCCATTAATGTCTAAACCACTGGCAACAAAAGTGTGTACACTCCCGTGGAATATTTAGTAGCAAGAAAATGTCACGGATGGTCTTATTGCACAGGTGGCAACCTATCACGGTACCGCGCTTGAATTCACTGAATTCCTGAGAGCGACCCATTCTTTCACAAATGTCTGTAGAAGCAGTCTGCATGCCTAGGTGCTTGATTTTATACACCAGTGGCCATGGAGGTGATTGGAACACCTGAATTCAAATGGATCTATATATATATATATATATATATATATATATATATATATAAATATAATATATATATATATATATATATATAAAAAACATGCTGCATAAATGGTTGATGCTTTAGAAGTACCTTTAATAAATACATTTTTATTTTCCAGGAGTTCAGCTTTAAAAGTGAAGGCACACTATGAATTAAATCCAAGGAGGTGCATGACATCTCCTGGACTCATCTCTAGTATTTATTGTACATCTGACAAGCTTATTGCATTCCTGAAAGATGGCTACACCTATAGTTCCGGGAGTCCTACTGGACCTTCTGGTCTCTGGCATCCTCAACAGTAGTGACACTGCAGCAGATATGCCCACCCCTCCCTTCCTCCTGTCCAATCACAGAAGCCTTTGTATTATGTGAACTCATTCACAAAATACAGAGGCTTCTGTAAATGGGCAGCGGGGGGGGGCATAGATGCTCTGTGTGCCTCTCTCACAACCTCCAATGTAACGATCATGTTACACATGCATTGTCTGTGTGTTTGCCTTTAAATAATTTTGTCCCTTCCTCACTCTGTAGCTAGGGCATGTTCTGTGTACTTAGAATCTGATATTATTAATAGTAGAGGATTCCAGTATTAGCAGAGGGTGGGATAGGCTTCCCTGAAGAGATTGGTTTTCAGTGATCACCTAAAAGTCAGCAGAGTAGGCTGTATCTTCACAAGTTTTGGAACAGAAACTTTGTAGGATCTGCTAGATTTCATTTAGAGTCACTGTCTGCCAAACTGGCACTGCAAGACATTTCATTCACTAGACTAGTTGGAGATCTCACTTGCAGGGCTTGGATTGGATAGACAGAACAGTATCTTTGGCAGAACCTGTCCGATGTAAACAGAGATAAGTTCAGATGCCATGCACCTTGTTGGATGTAACTCATAGCGTCCCTGCACTTTGTACAAAGTGGCTGAACCTCTTGAATTCAGCTTTAAAAGAATACCTGGTGATTCTGCCATAAAGATCTTTTTTTCCAGGCTCTTTCTGTTATGAAGTGACGAATTGTTTAACAAATAAAAAGGATAACTCCTGCGCTCCCCAAAATAAAATTATAAACTGGTGAATCGGTAGCAGCTAACACTCTATCATGTTCCCACAATGAACTAATAAACAAAAAATTACTAAACCCACAATAAAATCAGTCTGTATATGCAGTAAAGCATGCTTGTTATACTCACTATAGAACCTACGGGGTTAATCCTCTGCATTGTGTAAAAAGGCTGTTTGATTCTGTCTTCTCTGATCCTCCCCTTCTTTTACTGTCCCCAGTCCATCTGCCATAGTACAGAGCAGCAGTTGCAAGTCTGTACATGTTCAGTTTGGTGTGTATTGCTAAAGAAGTTTAGTTTTTTTTTCTGGGAGGGTGCATGTGATTGGCACAGGGCCAATCAGTACTGTCTGGACAGAGGGTCAGGGGTCATGCAGCCTCATAGGACAGAGGAGAATGAAACATTTTCCTACAAGATTAACCATGAGAAAAGTTATTTAGCAGTTTATGTTTACTAAAATAATTACATTTGCATTTTTGGTGTAATGTGGAAGACCAGATACAGTGAATGTAGGGTCATGGGTTTAGTAACACTAAGTACTGCGCTACCTGTATTCAAATAAAGCATTCAATATATATTAATGGTCATATCTGAAGTGCACACCAAAAAAACCCACAGAAAAAAAGTGTGTGAAATTAATTTAAGTTGTATGACACAATGTGTAGGGTACAGCCTGGGTGATCATGGACCAGAAATGTACTTTTGACCACATTTGAGATATGCTATCTTTTTTTTTTTTATGTGAATGCGGTTTTGCATTAAAAAAAAAAAAAAAAAAAAGTAAGCGCCTTAAAATGGTTGTAAAGGCTGAAGGTTTTTTACCTTCATGCATTCTATGCATGAAGGTAAAAAACGTTCCCGATGCACCAACCCCCCAGCCTCCCTAATACTCACCTAAGCCCCCTCTCAATCCAGTATTGTACGCTGGAGTCTTGGCTACCCCAGGACTCACTCTCCTCATTGGTTGAGACAGCAGCGGAAGCCATTGGCTCCAGTAAGCCAATGAAAAGAGAGAGGAGGCAGGGCCAAGCCACAGCTCCATGTGTGAATGGACACAAGGAGCAGCGGCTGGGGAATGCACATGCTCAAGTTCCCCCATAGCAAGCTGCTTGCTATGGGGGCACACAACAGGAGGGAGGGGCCAGGAGCACCGGAGGGGAACCCAAGAAGAGGAGGATCTGGGCTGCTCTGTGCAAAACCATTACACAGAGCAGGTAAGTATGACATGTTTGTTATATTTTTTTATACATTTACGCCTTTATAATCACTTTAATACTGCACCATTAGAGGCTGCTGTTTTCTTTTTCTTGGCATGTTATGATTGAGTGATACAACATGGCTGCTCGAGTCTAAGGCAGTTTTAAAGGGACCAGCACTCAATTTCCTGGAAAAGCACCTAAGAGCATAGACGGGCACCCTAGTGGACAGGAGGTCTTGCGGCACCTACAAGTGCACAGAGGATCACCTGAGGATCAAGGAGTACCTGGTGGAACTACCACATGCGTATTATAAAGTGGAACTAAACCCATTGATTTAACCACTGCAGTACCGAGCACTTTCACCCCCTTCCTGCCCAGGCCAATTTTCAGCTTTCAGCGCTGTCGCACTTTGAATGACAAATTACTCAGTCATACAACACTGTACCCATATGAAATTTGTATTTTTTTTTTTTTTTAGAAAGATAGAGGTTTCTTTTAGTGGTATTTAATCACCACTGGGTTTTTTAGTTTTTGCTACACAAATGAAAAATACACCGAAACTTTTGAATAAAAAAAACTTTTTCTACGTTTCTGTTATAAAATTTTGCAAATAAGTAATTTTTCTTCGTCGCTTATGAGGCAGCACTGATGGGCATTATAGACGCGCTGCCAGAATGAGAGAACTGCAATGCAGCTGTCTTTTGACTATAGCGCAATATTAATGCAGAACTTCACTTCTCAAAGCATGTACTATTTTGAATCCTTATGCTGCTACCATTAGTAAATAGATCAGAAAGTATATATTTACTTGTTTTTAACTTCTTTTTTTACTTTTCTTCAGTTACTTCCTGGTTTCCATGCCTAGGCAAATGATGTCATACTTCCCAGGAGTATTCAGGAGAGGAGGAAGGGTTCTCAGTTCAGCCTATGCCTAAGGTAAAGGCAGACGGATTCCAGGAATTGCCACATAAATCATCTACCCTTACTCAAGATAGCCACAGCCAGAAAAGCTAAGGGGTGTTTTTGAAAATGATTTATCAGCAAAATAAAGCATGGAGACATGAATGAACGGATGAGTTTGCTTTCAATATTAACAATTAACTAGTTGCCGACCGCAGATAGCCGAATGACGGCTGCACTGCGGCCGGCCAGTTCTGAGTGGACGTCATATGACGTCCTCCCCAGAATGCGCTCTCCTGCGCGCCCCAGGGGGCGCACACCCGGCAATCTCCGTGATCGCTGTGTCCTACGGACACAGCTGATCACGTGATGTGGTAAAAGGCCAATCACAGCAGCCTTTTACCACGTGATCAGCGGTGTCCAATGACACGCTGATCAGAGGGAAATGCAAGTGCCAGTTCTCGGCTGCACTTTCCTCACGCTGTCAGATCGTGAGGAAAGTACTGCCGAGAACCGGCAGTTGTGAGAGCGGGGATCGGCACCGATCATCAGGGCACTGATGATCAGTGCCCTGATGATCGGTGCCCAGCAGTGCCACCCGCAAGTTCCGCCCACCTGTGCCCAGCAGTGCGCCCACTAGCTCCGCCCACCTGTGCCCAGCAGTGCACCCACCTGTGCCACTCTGCAGTGTCACACACCTGTGCCCAGAAGTACCACCTACCTGTGCCCAGCAGTGCCACCCACCTGTGCCCACCCACCTGTGCCCACCAGTGCCACCCACCTGTGCCCACCCACCAGTGCAGCCCAGCAGTGCTGCCAGTCAGTGCCACCAGTCAGTGCCCAGGGGTTGTGCCAGTCAGTGCCGCCAGTCAGTGCCCAGCAGTGATGCCAGTCAGTGCCGTCTATCAGTACCCATCATCAGTGCCGCCTATCAGTGCTGCATATTAGTGCCGCCTATCCGTGACACCTCATTAGTGCTGTCTATCAGTGCCGCCTATCCGTGCCACCTCATTAGTACTGCCTATCAGTGCCCTTTAGTGCTGCCTATCAGTGCCACCTATCAGTGCCCATCAGTGCTGCCTCATCAACGCACATCAGTGAAGGAGAAAAAATACCTGTTTGAAAAATTTTATAATAGAAACAAAGAAACTTTTTTTTTTTTTTCAAATTTTTTGCACTTTTTTTATTTATAGCGCAAAAAGTAAAGTGCCCAGTGGCGATTAAATACCACCAAAAGAAAGCTCTATTTGTGAGAAAAAAATGATCAAAATTTCATATGGGTACAATGTTGCATGACCGCGCAATTGTCAAAGTGCGACAGCGCTGAAAGCTGAAAATTGGCCTGGTAAATAAGGGGGTATAAGTGCCTGGTAGGCAAGTGGTTAAATAGCATTTTTGGTTTGTGGTGCTCAGATGTAGTGCAGTTCCACTTTAAAGTGGTTAACGGTTTAAAAAAAACCTGTTTATTAGTGGAAGGTTAGGATTTCCAACTGTCACATTTTCTTGTGTCCTCAACCAAAACATCAAATAGATGGTGTTATAACTGATCACGTGTGCAGCACCATGGTAGTTGCAGATCAAACAGAAGCAGCTTCCGTGGCTGTAACAGATAAGAGGGTTTACTTCCACTTTCAGGCTGTCAGCAGATCAGCCTTTACAAATTTAGCAGTGCCTAAAAATGGGGAGCAACTGAACATGTGCAGAACAGGGTGAGACAGTGTATTACTGAATTTTACACAATACAGACACTTATTATTAATGTTTACATATCTGCAAAAAGGGGCCAGCCTGAAGTGATCTAATAAGACTTGAATTTCTGATTAAAATTCCGTTTTAATATACAGCCCTGGCCAAAAGTTTTGAGAATGACACATATTAAATTTTCACAAAGTCTGCTGCTTCAGTGTTTTTAGATCTTTTTGTCACATGTTACTATGGTATACTGAAGTATAATTACAAGTATTTCATGTTGACCCTTCTTTTTCAAGACCTCTGCAATTCACCTTGGCATGCTGTCAACCAACTTCTGGGCCACATCCTGACTGATGGCAGCCCATTCTTGCATAATCTTGACCTCTCTGCGGCTTTTGACACGGTTGACCATCCTCTCCTCCTCAAAAAACTACACTCTTTTGGCCTCAGCGACTCCGTTCTCTCCTGGTTCTCCTCCTACCTATTGCAGCACTCCTTCAGTGTTACCTATAATGCTGCCACCTCCTCCTCACTCCCTCTCTCTGTAGGGGTCCCCCAAGGTTCTGTCCTTGGACCCCTTCTCTTCTCCATCTACACCTCCTCCTTTGGTCACTTGATAAACTCCCATGGCTTCAACTACCATCTCTATGCTGATGACACACAAATCTATTTGTCTACCCCTCACCTCACCCCTTCAGTTTCCACCCGCATCACTAGCCTACTAAGCGACATATCGGCCTGGATGTCACTCCACTTCCTCAAACTTAATCTTTCCAAAACTGAGCTCCTAGTATTCCCCCCAGCCCGTGCCCCCTCCCCTGACTTCACCATAAATATCGCTAACACCATCCTCAGTCCATCCCCTCATGCCAGGGTACTAGGTGTAATCCTAGACTCCCATCTGCCCTTCCAGCCCCAGATCCAATCGCTGACAAAATCATGTAGACTTCACCTCCACAACATCTCCAAGATACACCCGTTCTAACCTTGGAAACCACTAAGCAACTCATTCACTCCCTTGTCATATCTCGCCTTGACTATTGTAACTTCCTCCTCATTGGCCTACCTCATCGCAGGCTATCCCCTCTTCAGTCTATCATGAATGTTGCTGCCAGACTCATCCACCTTACTAACCGTTCTGTATCCGCCACCCCTCTCTGCCAATCCCTCCACTGGCTCCCAGTTGCCCAACAGATAAAATTCAAAACTCTGACAATGACATATAAAGCCATCCACAACACTGCCCCAAATTACATCACCGATCTTATTTCTAAATATCACCCAATCCGTACACTCCGCTCCTCGCAAGACCTCTTACTCTCTAGTGCCTGTATCTCCTCCTCCCATGCTCGTCTCCAAGACTTCTCCAGGGCGTCACCCATCCTCTGGAACTCCCTATCCCAATCTATCAGATTATCACCTACTCTACTTGCCTTTCGGCGTTCACTGAAAACCTCTCTCTTCAGGGAAGCCTATCCTGCCCTCTGCTAATTCTGGTATTCTCTACTCTTCCAACCACTCCATCCCCCACAGTGACTACCTACTGTACCACTCACCCCGCCCTCCTAGATTGTAAGCTCCAAGGAGCAGAGCCCTCCTATCCCTCTTGTATTGAACTGTATTGTTACTGTATTGTCTCCCACTATAATGTAAAGTGCTGAGCAAACCGTTGGGGCTATATAAATCCTGTATAATAATAATAATCAATGCTTGGAGTTTGTCAGAATTTGTGGAATTTTTTGTTCACCCCCGCCTCTTGAGGATTGACCACAAGTTCTCAAAGGTATTAAGGTCTGGGAAGTTTCCTGGCCATGGACCCAAAATTTCAATGTTTTGTTCCCAAGCCCCTTAGTTCTCACTTTTGCCTTATGGTAAGGTGCTCCATCATGCTGGAAAAGGCACCAAACTGTTCTTGGATGGTTGAGAAAATTGTGAGTGAGCCCACTCACACATGAATGGTCTCAGGATGCTTTACTGTTGGTATGACACAGGACTGATGGTAGCACTCACCTTTTCTTCTATGGACAAGGTTTTTTCCGAATGCCCCAAACATTCAGAAAGGGGATTCATCAGAGAAAATGACTTTACCCAGTCCTCAGCAGTCCAATCCTTGTACCTTTTGGAGAATATCAATCTGTCCCTGATGTTTTTTCTCTTTTCTGCCCTTCTTGACACCAGGCCATCCTCCAAAAGTCTTCACCTCACTGTGTACAGATGCACTCACACCTGCCTGCTGCCATTCCTGAGCAAGCTCTGTATTTGGTGCCCAAATCCCACAGCTGAATCAACTTTAGGAGACAGTCTTGGGTGCCCTGAAGCCTTCTTCACAACAATTGAACTTCTCTCCTTGAAGTTCTTGACGATCCGATAAATCACTGATTTAGGTGCAATCTTAGTAGCAGCAATATCCTTGTGAATCCCTTTTTGTGCAAAGCAATGATGACTGCAAGTGTTTCCTTGCAGGTAACCATGGTTAACAGAGAAAGAACAATGATTTCAAGCACCACCCTCCTTTTAATGCTTCCAGCCTGTTATTCTAAGTCAATCAGCATGACAAGCGTGATCTCCAACCTTGTCCTTATGAACACTGACACCTGGGTTGATGCGAGAACCACGTCAGCTGATCCTTTTGTGGCATGGCTGAAATGCAGTGTAAATGGTTTTTTGGGGATTAAGTTCACTTTAATTGCAAAGAGGGACATTGCAATTCATCCAGTCACTCGTCATAACATTCTGGAGTATATGCATATTGCCATCATAAAAACTGAGGCAGCAGACTTCGTGAAAGTCTATATATTGAATGCTTTATTCAAACATACAGGTAGTGCAGCACTTAAGCCCTGGGTCACACTGGATGCGACTTGGCATGCAATTTGCATGCCTGCAACTTGCAAATCGCATGCCAAGTTGCACCCTATTGTTCGCAATTGGAGCGGTCATGTCGGTGCGGTTCCGAATTAGTCGGAGCCGCACCGATTTCAAAAGTAGTGCATGCACTACTTTTGGAGCGATTTGCATAGACATCTGTATCAGATGTCTTGCAAATCGCACCTGAAATCGACATCTCACCCAACTTTGAAATCGTGCGACTTCACTGTAAGTCGCATGATTTCAAAGTCAGGCTTGATGGGAGTCGGTAATACTATAAAAAGGGGAAATTAGAACGTAGCGCTTGGTGATGCGTAACATGAACGGAGGGTAATACTAGTTTTTTTTGTCTCCCAAATGTGTTGCTGGTTTACACCCTGGTTGCACTGGGTGCAACTTGGCATGTGATTTGCATGTCATGCGGCTTGCAAATCGTATGCCAAGTTGCACCCTATTGTCCGCAATCACAGCGGGCAAATCTGTGTGGTTCCGACTTGGTCAGTGCCGCACCGATTTCTAAAGTAGTACATGCACTACTTTTCGTGCATGTCTTGCAAATCACACCTGAAATTGTCAGTCTCCCAACTTTGAAATCGTACGACTTCACTGTTGAGCCTGATGTGACTGAAGACTAACCCTCCATTCACATCAAGCCCGACTTTGAAGTCGCACAATTTCAAAGTCGGAGGACCCGCCGATTTCAGGTGCGACTTGCAAGACATCTGACACAGATGTCTATGCAAATCACACCAAAAGTAGTGCATATACTACTTTTGAAATTGGTGCGCCTCCGACCAAGTTGGAACCTCACTGATGTGACCGCTCTGACTGCGTACAATAGGGTGTGGCTTGGCATGCGATTTGCAAGTCTTAGGGCATGCAAATCACATGCCAAGTCACATACAGTGTGAACCAGGGCTTACCCTCTGTTCACATCAAGCCCGACTTTGAAATCGTGCAACTTACAGTGAAGTTGCACAATTTGAAAGTCGGACCCGCCGATTTCAGGTGCGATTTGCAAGACATCTGATACAGATATCTATGCAAATCACAGCAAAAGTAGTGCATGTGCTGCTTTATAAATCGGTGCGGCCCTGACCAAGTCAGAACCGCACCTATATGACCACTCCAATTGTGAAAAATAGGTGGCGACTTGGCATGCGATTTGCAAATCGCATGCAGTGTGAACCAGGGCTTACCCTCTGTTCACACTGACTTTGAAATTGTGCAACTTAAAGTGAAGTCACATGATTTCAAAGT